GTTCATGTACGATCCATACTAGATATGACTAACTGCCCCTCCTACCTCCTTTATGTTCATGGCAACCCATCTTTGTCTTAATAGAGCCTTTTTAAGTGGCATGTTTCGGTCCTCTTCCCCAATTGCAAGAGTGGAACTCAACCAACTTGAGCTATATCCCCTCGAGCCAAGTGTATTAATTCTTTTCCTTGGCGCAGCTGAGCCATTATGGAAATCTTATAATTACGTAGACGGAAGTTTGTTGTAGTGGGTTAATGGGAGCCGTAGAATTTAAAAGGAGTGATCAGCTGGATGCTCGGTCCATCGGCTATAACTGCGAGATCCGAAGAGAATCTCGATTCAATCTCATGATGAAAGTTCGTTGTATTGTCCAGTCATAAAATGTGACAAAGAACCCAAATATATCAAGGAAATTAAAAACATTAATCTCATTGCACTTTCACTTTCAACTTGATCAAGAATATTTACAAAAACAAAACATAAATAAAATAATAAATAAAAAAAACCAAAATAACGCTGTAAATCTAACTCAAGATCTTAAAATTTGAGGCAGCAAATAATCTTCAAGAACTCCAAACAACCAGCAAACGACGCATGTCTCTTTGTTTCAGCGCTACATATTACTTCCCTCCTCATGTCCTGCTCCAGATCATCTTCTTTGTACATAAAATCCCCCACGTAGTCTTCACCATAAAGGACATCTTCCGCCCCAGTCTCCGCAGCCGCGTCACCGGATTCTGTAGAAGCAGCAGGGGTAGTCAATGGCAACGTAGAAAGTTCAGAACAAGGTGGTGGGTTCTCCGCCACGTGCTTTTGCTCGGCGTACCCACCGCCACGGTGAGAAAATTCTCTGGCTATCGAAGAAACGAGAAAACATAGGTTCCTGTGGGGATTTAATATACTAAAGAGTCCAGATATATAGTTTTTTTTTTTTTTCCTAATCCTGTTAGAACTTGGCTACTAAAATGAAATTAGTCTTTTATGTTTATACTTGTTGTTTGGCAATTGCCAGCTAAAAGAGAGATTAATCTAACGCGGCAAATTAAACACACTTATAATTAGAATTAATTAATACGTGATTATCCACTTTGTTATGAATCATATGCCATGTTCTTTTTCAGTAGAGATTTTGATACCAAATTACCATTAGAGATAAAAATCCAAAAAAATATGACCTAATTATTATGTGGAAGATGGAGAAACACATGGAACGTTGTCAACTTAATTAGGGTAGTGCTATCCATACACCTTCACATGCCTGATCTTGATATCCTCCAAACACTAGGGTAGGCACGTGCTGGCCGACACCCGAATGTGACAAAACCATACTAATATGCATGAGAACAATGAATAAAAATAAAACTTATAGACATTTAAATATAATTAAAAATGCAAATGAGGAACGTGTTCAAAGTATACAACTAAACCAAGACACTAGAAATGAAATAATTTAAAATTGAATGAGCAAAGGGATGAGTCCTACACCGAGAAAACTCGAATATGCCGATGCAGGAATACCTTGACACCGGAATTGTACGCCTCGATTCTAAGTCATGAGGGGACGCAAAACAAAACATGAGTGGACCAAGTTGATATACAAGTAGTACTAAAACAGTTAATCACAAAGTACTAACCCTCAAAGTTTATGAAAACTCAATAGCGTAGTAAGTAATAGGTTTTCCGAAACCCCTAGCATGCCATAAAACCTTTCATAAAACATATATTATATAGAGTGTGCTAAATAGTGGTATCAATATCGCCCAAAGGCAGTATCATTCGCCCGTAGGCAGGACATTCACACGTAGGCAGATCATTCACCCGTAGGTAGGATCTTCCGCCCGTAAGCACTACATCTCATGGCCGAAGCCAATAAAATATCTTCCAACCGAAGCCATCTACCAACGCTCGGTCTTAGCCATAAATAAGTATCTTTCTGCCAAAGCCATCTACAAATGCCCGGTCGTAGCCAGTATAAGTATCATTCATCCATAGGCTCCTACATCACCCACCCGAAGGCAATATAAATATCATTCGCCTGTAGGGTCCTACAACACCCACCCGAAGGCAATATATAATATCTTTGTCCGTACGCAGAACAGTGACCACTAGATAAGCACAAAAATCATTGAATATAATATTTCCAATATATATCTCAACAGAGCTCAGTAGCTCAAATACCATATAATAAAACATCTTCATAGTATATAGTCATCAATCATATATACTACAAAGAATGTAAAATCGATAAAGCATGGAATTCCAAAATATTCTCAGTAAAGCATGATATCTCATAAAGTGTAAATCTAATTTACTCAAAAAACATAACCATTAAATCATGTTTTTCATGTATGCATTTCTAGTAGTAAAATATGCATTTTAGAAGGGGTCTACTCATAGATACTTCACTGTCGAAGAGCCATGCAAACTAGTGAAGACTGAAATGCCCCAAACAATTGCACCTAAGCACATAAAGGGTCCAATTAATAAAACTCTACTCAAACAATTGAATTTGGGAAAACGGACATTGGAAACGGATTCAGGACGTCGAAAAACATAAAGGGGAACCTCGGGTACCCCCACGCGTCGTCGCAAGGTGGCGGCCCCGACGGCCACGCTCCAAGATGGGTCGTCGGAAACTTGGCCGAAAAAGTCATTGGCGCTGTTGTGGACAGCAAAGCACAGTACCTCCGGTGGAGGCGCATGTGCTCCACGCGCTGGCCAGGACAAACGCTCACTCGCGCCCACGCGAGGCTAAGGGTCTGGGATCCAACTGGGTTTGGGCCTGATCCGGGTCGGGTCTAGTATGGGTTATGGGTTCTCTGGGTTAGGCCTCACGATTGGGCTGGATTCAAATGGTTTGGGCCTGGGTTGAACCGAGGCAACTGGGCCTGGCCAGGGGTTTCCATGGCCCAAGGGCCTAGGTTTGGGTTCATAGCTTAAAGGGTTGGGCTTCGGGTTATAAAGTTTAGGGTTTGGGCCGAAGTCCATGGCCCAAAAACTTGGGCCGGTTTAGTTGGGTCTAAGTTTGACCCATTTTCAGGTCGGGTTGGCCAAACTCGACGGAGAAGGAAGCTGGAGCTTCCCGAGCTCCGTTCAACTCCGATTATCCACCCTAGGACTCGATCCACCCACCAAAATGAAGTTTAAAGAACGTAGATTAGGATTTTAGTTTTTGTTTCCCAAGTAGTGGCAGGGGTTGGCTGAAAATCGACTCGAAGCCGTTAGGACTTGCCGGGTTCTCCAAGCTCTTGCACCGGTTTCCATGGTGCTACCCTCTTGATCTCGGGTTCGAAGGTTGGTGTCTGGGTCTTGGGTTCGAAGGTTGGTGTCTGGGTCTTGGGTTCGAAGGTTGGTGTGTGTGGGTCGTCGGAGAGGGGAGAGCACAAAGAGAGAGAGCTCGGGGGAGAAAGGTCCGAGAGTGAGACAGGGTTAGGAGTTTCAGAGAGAGGGAGAGAGTAGGGAGAGAGTGGGGAGAGAATGAGAGGTGAAGAGAGATTGGGGCTGGGGGAACAAACCCAAAAGCAGTGGGCCCCCTTAGGCGCACATAATAAGACCCAAAAGCAACAAATTAAAATATCTAGCCCAAACAAGGTGAACTTACCAAAATATCATTCCGTTCCGTAAATTCATAGACGGGTTGTTACACACCTATTTTTACTTTTCATACACCTCAAATTTCGGCCATCGGATCAATGAATTTAAGAAGATCAATTGCAAAAAATTAACAAGAATGTGAAAAGATAAAAATGGGTGTGAATAGCACTATCCTTTAATTTTTGCCGAAATAAAAGCAAGAATCAATAATAATTTATTTATTCAAAGAAATCAATCATATAATTTAAGGAAAATTGTCACTAGTGCTACGGTCTAGTGGTATTTCTCTTCACTAATTAGTGAGAGGTCTTAGGTTCAACTCTCGCCAAAGGCGAATTTTGAACCAATTTATTAGCCCATTGTGAGGCTAAGCCCACCTCCTCCTCTTAGTGTAGTAAATATCGATTGTTCAAAAAAAGAAAATTAGCAATGCCTTGTAAATTTAGTGCCTCCTGATTTGCCTTATCTATGTTCAATTGGGTTGTGACCCTCTTAATTTTTAAAAACGTATCAATTTGCTTTCATCGTCAATTTTCCCATCAAATCAGGGGTTAATGTTAGTTCATTCAAGAGGTTATTGCTGATCTCTTCTTCGAGCTTGCTCCGCTCAAGACAAACTTACGTACAATGAGAACAACTACGGTGATATCTCAAAGTAATCATGCACAAACGCGTGTTTTAAGTGCAATGCATGATTGATTTGACATACAATTGCGTAAAGTCCTTCGCATGACCCTCACATCATTTGAAAAAAAAAATTAAATAGAAAGGAAATAAAAGGGAAAGCCTTCCATCGCCTGCATATCGAAGCCACAAACTTTTTAAATTAACGTCTCCAAGCCAATCCTCACTACAAGTCTGCAATGGAAAAAAATAGGGCGCGTTTACTAATCCGTAATCAAATTGAGAGGAATTGGATTGAGGAGGAATTGAAATGAGGTGGAATCAGAATTAGATTCTTGTTGAAGTTGTTTACTAAAACTGTCTGGAATCGGAGTAGAAATGATGTTGAGTCCATATAAGTTGTTTACTAATTCACTTCAATCGGAATGAAAACTAGGTTGATTACTATATTACCCTTACATGAATAAATAATTTTCATACTAATTAATTAAATTAAATTCTTAATTAAATTTATATAATAAAATTCATTTATATAAAAATATATAAATAGGTTTTATTTATTTATTAAAAGATGGCAAGAATAATATTGAGTCCATAAAAGTTGTTTACTAATCCACTTCAATCGGAATGAAAACTAAGTTGATTATTAAATTACCCTTACATAAATAAATTATTTTCATACTAATTAATTAAATTAAATTCTTAATTAAATTTATATAATAAAATTCATCTATATAAAAATATATAAATAGATTTTATTTATTTATTAAAATATGGCATAATGAATGTCAAATGAAGGGTAATATTGAGATTATAAGAAACAAGTGAGTGCATCATTGGTAGAAAAAATCCATTCCAGATTCCTCAAGTCTCAAGGAATTGAAATACCTCCGTCATGTAGGGAGTCTAATTCCTCCAAAATTAGGAGTTGGATTCCTTAATGCGCGTGGACCCCACATGTATTTTGATTACCCAAGATTACTTAAACAAAGGTGTATCCCGTAATCGGAATCCAATTCCGTAAATTGATTCCGATTACAGCTACGTGCTATATATATAGACTGAGGTTTATATAGATCAATATTAAGCAACTGTATAGGCGACGTCCCGTGTATGCGGCGATAGCTCACACACATAAAATCCTAGTGAAATGATGCTTTGCTTAGATCCTACAACGCCTGCATCTGGAGATCGGTGTGGCCACTATTGTTGGTAGAGGATGGTGAAGCAGAGTCCTGGTTGTCGTCAGCAGACTTCATCTCTTGAACTTGAGGTGGGTTGACGACGGTCATTGGCATCACAGAATTGTCCGAGAGGCGTCCCTTCATCTCCCTGTGCTCTTGGCACAAGGCGCACCAGTGCAAGCAGGAGTGTGTCAAGCATGGGTGACACGGTGAGTTCTGCAGTCAACAACGCAATTCAGCATTTAGCAGCTTCAGCAGCATACAGATAACAAAAAATTACCTGTAGATGATACTTCTTCTGCAAGGCTTGCCGGACAAGACCTGCAAATACCACACGCATCCACCAAGAACATAACAGACCCTCGCAAATAGTAATTGAAATCCATGGGTCAACACCATGGAAGATTGCAGTTAATGCTGCCAGAGCCAAACCACCTTCAATACAAACACAAGCAGCATGAGAAATGCATGGTCTGTGCCAAGGGGTCTCATTGCTTACGCTTTGGCTCATAACATTGCGCCCAAACAGAACACATGGACAAAATAACCCTGTCAAGCCTGAAGAGGTAACAAAAGGCACGGGCACGGTGTTATCAGTAGACTGTGTTTTTATATTGCAGAAAACGAATCACTGGAACTAGAGTCTAGATACACCGTAGCAAGGGCAAAGACGTTCATGCTTATCAATCACAAGACTATGGTCAATCAATTGGATGGGCAGAAACATCTTACTTGATAAAATCAGAGGCGGCATTCAATGAAGAGAGCAATGCTAGAGTTAAATTTCAAATTTTAAAAAGCAAGCATGAAAGCTTGTTCTGAGCATTCCATATTCCAGTGACAAACTCCGAGAGACGCAAAATCACCCAGAAAAATCGAAAGGAAGAAGGTATCTTATCAAATATAGACATAAGCCTCATAGAATTAACACATGCATTGCTAGAGTTGCATATATGTGAGAAAAACCCTAAAGTGAGGGCTTTGGGCTTTGTTTATGAGGCAAGCTCAGCGGGACTCCAAATCCCCCGAAAAAAAAAGTATCTAACTTAATGGAAACCAAAGGTAGTTCCCATAAACTCAATACCATATCGCTGTACGAGAATCAAAAAGATATTTCCCGTATCAACTTACAACTTTCTCTATCTTCAGCACAGCCAAAAATTCCGGTTGTCCAAGGCTCATCTCTAGGGGGCAGATAGCTCTCGGGTAAAGGCTGTCCGCATTGGTGACACCTGTGAACATTCGACTGGCCCATAACACACAAGATCAGTTGCCAAATCACATCCTCATCCGATCCGACGACTTAAAATTACAATCCTCCAACGGAAACAACGTCACATGTAAAATTCACAAATTCATTACCATCTACCCCAATAAACCTACACTACAAATGTAATTTATCAACCACATCCAAGTTGTAGCCAAAACCATGTACTCATTTTTGTTCGAAAGCTACGAAAATCTTAGATCTGAACAATGCTTTGATGTACCAAAAACGGTTTAATCGTGACTTCAAAAATCTGATTGCCTCTTATTCCAGAAATGGCATTATACAAAAAAAATAAAATAAACTAATGAAAAGGGCTTGAAAACTTTGAGTTTTAATGATAAGGACAAAATAAAGGGTAAAGTGAATAGTACCATAATTGATTTTTTAGTGTAAAAATGTGGTTTTTCGTTAAAATAAACAGTACCAGATACTTTTCGCTAAAGTTTCAAAAAAAAAATCCCTGAAAATTCCACAACATAAGAAAAAAATACAAATCAACTAATTTCCTCAAATCCCAAAGACCTCTAATCAGAAATATATAAAAAAAAGGTAAAATTAAACAATCCAAACCAAATCACCAACACAAGTTTGAACCGAAATGCAATTCATACAAAATCATACAGGAAAACAAATGGGATATTAGCTGCGGAGCTTTCAGAGCAAACCCATGTCAAATTAATAGATATTTCAGCGAATCCGACTAGAGAGAGGGAGAGAGAGAAACCTGGGGAACTTCGATGGGCTGATTGAGCTCGCCGGGCTTAATGTCCTCGGCCGGCGCTTGATCCTTCGTCAGCTTCACATACCGCGAGTGCGCAGTTCCGTCCGCCATCCGATCTGGTCTAGTCTCTCCGGCACCGCTTTCTCTCTGTTTGGTTGGGGGGAAAACCCGGACTGGCCGAGAGTAGACTTACGCGGGTCAACTTTTTTTTCTTGTAACTCTTATTTAGGCCCTTCCGATGTAAGACTTTCGTAGCTTTCGAACGCTTATACAGGTCCTGCCGAGAGTAGACTCTCGCTCACTCCGCTTCGGCCTTCAGATTTCTTTGGATTTGCCGACCCGGAAATTTGAGAAAATAATTAAAAAAATTAAAATTTGGACTTTTACAGAATATGCCTATATTTAACTTTCTAAGGAAAGGGGGCCGGCGGCAAGGAGAGAGATTGTACATAAAATCCCCCACGTAGTCTTCACCATAAAGGACATCTTCCGCCCCAGTCTTCGCCGCCGCGTCGCCGGATTCTGTAGAAGCAGCAGGGGTAGTCGATGGCAACGTAGAAAGTTCAGAACAAGGTGGTGGGTTCTCCGTCGCGTGCTTTTGCTCGGCGTACCCACCACCACCGTGAGAAAATTCTCTGGCCATCGAAGAAACGAAACACAAAGGTCCCTGTGGGGATTTAATTTGGATATGATATCCACAAATCTCTTTTTACTTCTCACACATCCTTTTAATTTTTGGCTGTCGGATCGGATAAAATGAAAAAGATGTAACAGATAGCAATTAACAAGGGTGTGAGAAATAAAAAGGATGTGTGGATAGCACACCCCTTTACTATATAGTCCAGATATATAGTTTTTTTTTTTCCTAAACCTTGTAGAACTTGGCTACCAAAATGAAATTCTTTTATGTTTATACTACTTGTTTGGCAATTGCCAGCTAAAAGAGAGATTAATCTAACGCGGCAAATTAAACACACTTAATTAGAATTAATTAATACGTGATTATCCACTTTGTTACGAATCATATGGCATGTTCTTTTTTAGTAGAGATTTTGATACCAAATTACCATTAGGAGATAAAAATACAAAAAAGATGGCCTAATTATTATGTGGAAGAAGGAGAAACACGTAGAAAGTTGCCAATTTAATTAGGGTAGTGCTATCTATACGCCAATTTTTATTTTTCACATATCTTTCTAATTTGGGCCTTCAAACCAATGATAAATTGCAAAAATTAATAAGGGTGGTATGTAAAAGATAAAAATGGATGTGAATAGCACTATCCTTTAATTGCCGAAATAAAAGCAAGAATCAATAATAATTATTTATTCAAAGAAATCAATCATGTAATTAAGGAAAATTAGCGATTGGGTTGTGACCCTCTTAATTTTAAAACGTATTAATTTGCTTTCATCGTCAATTTCCCCATCAAATCGGGGGTTAATGTTAGTTCATTCAAGAGGTTATTGCTGATCTCTTCTTCGAGCTTGCTCCGCTCAAGACAAACTTACGTACAATCGGAACAACTACGATGATATCTCAAAACATGCATGAACACGTGTTTTAAGTGCAATGCATGATTGATTTGAGATACAATTGTGTCCCCTGTTGCATAAAAGTCCTTCGAAGGACCATCACATCGTTTGAAAAAATTGAATAGAAAGGAAATAAAAGGGAAAGCCTTTCATCGCTTGCATATTGAAGCCATAAACTTTAAAAATTAACGATCTCTCCAATGGAAAAGAATTAAGACTATATATAGACTGAGGTTTATATAGATTAATATTAAGCAACTGTATAGACGACCTCCCGTGTATGCGGCGACAGCTCACACACATAAAACCCTAGTGAAATGATGCTTTGCGTAAATCTTACAATGCCTGCATCTCCATATCTGTGTGGCCATTGTTGTTGGTAGAGGAGGGTGAAGCGGAGTCCTGGTTGTCGTCAGCAGACTTCATCTGTTGAACTTGGGGTGGGTTGACGACGGTCATTGGCATCACAGCATTGTCCGAGAGGCGTCCCTTCATCTCCCTGTGCTCTTGGCACAAGGCGCACCAGTGCAAGCAGCAGTGTGTCAAGCATGGGTCACACGGCGAGTTCTGCAGTCAACAATGCAATTAAGCATTCTGCAGCTTCAGTTAAGAAAATATATTCAACATGACATAAACTTGAGATGCAGATGACAAAAATTACCTGTAGATGATACTTCTTCTGCAAGGATTGCCGGACAAGACCTGTATATACCCCACACATCCACCAAGAAAATAACAGACCCTCGCAAATAAGAAATGAAGTCCTTGGGTCAATGCCATGGAAGATTGCAGTTAATGCTGCCAGAGCCATACCACCTTCAATACAAACGGCATGACAAATGCATGGTCTGTTCCAAGGGGTATCGTCTCTTAGGCTCTCAACATTGCGCCCAAACAGAACACATGGACAAAATAACCCTGTCAAGCCTGAAGAGAGGTAACAAAAGGCATGGGCATGGTGTTATCAGTAGACCATGTTTTTATATTGCAGAAAACGAATTACTGGAACTAGAGTCTAGATACACGGTAGCAATGGCAAAGACGTTCATGCTTATCAATCACAAGGCTATGGTCAATCAATTGAATGGGCAGAAACATCCTACTTCATAAAATCAGAGGCGGCATTCATGGAAGAGAGCAATGCTAGAGTTAAATTTCAAAATTTTAAGAAGCAAGCATCAAAGCTTGTTCTGAGCATTCCATATTCCAGCGAAAAACTCCAAGAGACGCAAAATCCCCCAGAAAAATCGAAAGGAAGAAGGTATCTTATCGAATATAGACATAAACCTCATAGAATTAACACATGCATTGCTAGAGTTGCATATTTGTGAGAAAAACCCTAAAGTGAGGGCTTTGGGCTTTTGCCTATGAGGCAAGCTCAGCGGGACGCCAAATCCCCCGACAAAGAAAAAGAATCTAACTTAATGGAAACCAAAGGTAGTTCCCATAAACTCAATACCATATCGCTGTACGAGAATCGAAAAGATATTTCCCATATCAACTTACAACTTTCTCTATCTTCAGCACAGCCAAAAATTCCGGTTGTCCAAGGCTCATCTCCAGGGGGCTGATAGCTCTCGGGTAAAGGCTGTCCACATTCGTGACACCTGTGAACATTCAACTGGCCCATAACACACAAGATCAGTTGCCAAATCACATCCTCATCCGATCCAACGATTAAAATTACAATCCTCCAACGGAAACAACGCCACATGTAAAATTCACAAATTCATCATATCTACCCCATAAACCTACTCTACAAATGTAATTTATCAACCACATTCAAGTTGTAGCCAAAACCATGTACTCCTTTTTGTTCGAAAGCTACAAAAATCTTAGATCTTTGATGTACCAAAGAGGGTTTAATCATGACTTCAAAAATCTGATTGCCTCTTATCGCAGAAATGGCATTATACAAAAAAAAAATCCCTGAAAATTCCACACCATAAGAAAAAAATTACAAATCAACTAATTTCCTCAATCCCTCAAAGACCTTCTAATCAGAAATACATAAAAAAATGGTAAAATTCAACTATCCAAACCAAATCCCACCAACACAAGTTTGAACCGAAATGCAATTCATACAAAATTATACAGGAAAACAAATGGGATATTAGCTGCGGAGTTTTCAGAGCAAACCCATGTCAAATTAATAGATATTTCAACGAATCCGACTAGAGAGAGGGAGAGAGAGAAACCTGGGGAACTTCGATGGGCTGATTGAGCTCGCCGGGCTTAATGTCCTCGGCCGGCGCTTGATCCTTCGTCAGCTTCACATACCGCGAGTGCGCAGTTCCGTCCGCCATCCGATCTGGTCTGGTCTCACCGGCACCGCTTTCTCTCTGTTTGGTCGGGGGGAAAACCCGGACTGGCCGAGGGTAGACTTACGCGGGTCAAATTTTTTTCTTGTAACGCTTATTTAGGCCCTTCCGATGTAAGAACTCGTCCCTGCCGAGTCTCCCTTTAGTCGTCTCTCGCTCACTTCCGCTTCGGCCTTCAGATTTGTTTGGATTGCTGCCGACCCGGAGATTTGAGAAACTAATTAAAATTTGGACTTCTACATAATGTATCACCTTTTAAATTTGACTTATTATATTAACATCCCACAAATTATTGAAATAAAACTCACGTACTTAATACATTTCACATTTACTTTTTCACTTAAAAATTATCTTAATACACCTCACATATTTTCCCATAATACTCCACACCGCACATTCTCAATATACCCCTTATATTCTATACATGCACCCCACATTTTATATACACCCCCACATTTCTCAAATCTTATAATATTCATTTTTAATTTTCAAAAACTGAATCTAACTATTTAAACGTTTAGTTTGCCGAAAGATTTCAAATCAGCTGAAAGTGGCAAGGCCTAGAGTCGTGGGAGGGGTTTCATTTTGTATCCGCATTGGGCACTCAAAGTACATGTGTTGACCTTCCACTCCGCAGTATCTTCATGACATGTTAAAAGCATGCAACCTGTCATGGCCGCAAAACAAACAAACCAATCGAAAGCCCCCACCAACAATAGTTACGTTTTTCGGGACAAACCTCATGTATGGGCAAAGTCCACGAGGATGGCGACCCTAGTAGCATAATGGACAAACATTATAATCATGGCTGTGGATGCAAATTTCTTCCTCCTTGATCTTGGACAATTTTGCACCTACAAAACAATTAACACCTTAGGTTAAGACCAAGAGCCTCACGCGCCCACGATGAATGGGGGGGGCTTTGGCCGAAGAACCTCCGATGCCAAAGTTAGAATTTAGAGAGAAAGAGTGTTTAGAGAATTTTGGGATTTTTGCCAAAGTGTTGGAATTGGCTTTTTTGGTGAGAATGAGAGTATATTTATAGGGATAGGAGGTGGCTAGGGTTTTTGTGTTTGATTTAGGTTTAATTAGCCAATTTATTTGGCTATTAAACATAAAATGAATGTTTTGGTGGTTTTTGGAATTAATTGGCCAGTTAATTAGGGTAAATAAAAAGGGAAAATAGTGGAAAAGGTGGAGAATAAGATGGTTTACTTTTCTTGATGGGATTGGCCGGATATTTTAGTAGTTTTAGGTTTGGATGGGTGTTTCAATTGATAATTAAGGGATTGATTAGGTAATTAATCCCTTAATTAGTCAATTATTATGATTTTAGGAAATATGAAAGAAATAAGTATATTATTTAGCTAATTGATAAGCTAAATAATGAAATGAGAAATATATGAATAAATTAGGTTTTAAGTTGATACCTATTTTGGGCACTTTTGACTTGGTTGAGGGATAATTGTCTGCTGCTTGCGCGTAGGAATCCCGGTATACCTCAAGGGTAGTTTTGTCTTTTTTTGTCAAAAATCCACGTGTCGCCTTGTGATTATTTTTTGCTCCACAAATGCCCCCACACCTATTGGGCTGCTTGTAGGAAAAGGCAACAGGTGTAGAGATTTTCTTGCTTTAAGAAACTTAAAACTGCTTCCTATTTTGATGTTGATTCTCTCTTTAAATGGAAATTAGATCCTTCTAGGAAAGGGAAATAAATTTCTCTCAAAGCCTATTTAAGTCCACCTTAAGTGAGTTATTAAATCAACTTTGGAGAGCGATTTATTCTACCCAACAAGAGAGAGAAAGTTAGAGGATATTTGTTCCCCCTTCTCTAGCAATCTTCTACATCTTGCCCGTGCAAATGACCTTTCGTTGATTTCTTCGTCTTCTCCGTGCCGCACTGAGGTAAGAAAAAATTAATTTTCCTTGTCTTCTTCTTGGATGGTGCTACCTCGGGGCAGCCGTCGAGGTGATGCGGCACGTCGGCTGGCATGGGCCAGGAGTCGGCTCGGCATGGGCCGATGAGGTATTGTGGCAGGGACAACTGCTTTAAGCTGCTCGACTTGGCTAAAACCAAGGGCAGCTTGTATGGCTGGGGCCACGGGCACTGTGGCGCAGTGCTAGGCGAGTCACATGGCTCATGTCTTTTTGAGCTTTTGGACATGACGCGAGCTAGGTAGGTGATTGAGAGAAATGAAGAGGTTGCGGGCCTCATGAGCTGCTGGAATGTTGGGTTGAACTCCCCTGCTGGGAACCACGAATAACATTGGTTACTTTAACTCTCTTTGTCAGGAGAAACGTGGGCTGCTCCCAAAATAAGAGGTGAATAGGATCAATGCGGATGCATTAGCTCGTCCAATCACCATTGTGGATCCTGCTGCAAGTGAAGGGGGAAAAAGGGATATTCCCTGCCTGCTCAAGAGATGCTGGCTGAGAAAAAACCAAAGACTTATTTCGCTACTTATGCAAAGGATGAAAAGTTGATTGCTGTTTATAATCAAGTGATCCACTTCAAGAGAATCGTCGATAGGCTTGAGCCCCAAGTGTTGGAACTTCAAGGTGTACTGAAGATCAACGAAAGTTTGAAGAAAGAAGTGGATGAGCTGCAGTGCGTCCATGTTGGTATTAGTGAAGTAGTTGGAGAAGCTGGTGCCCAAGCTGGAGCAATCGAGGGTGATGCTGCTGCTAAGAGCTTCGCGGCTACTGAAGGTGTGGCGACCGAATAGTCGTGGGATGTCCAGGCTGCTAAAGTGTAGTCATTTAGGTAGCCTTTAAGATTTTCTTTGTTTTTTCCTTATAGCTTTTGTTTTGCTTGAACTCTTTCAGCCTTTGCTAGTTGTTTATAAACATGTTTTCCTTAGCTTTTCTTCATTTTTGCTTCTTTTGTTCATGCCCTAACCTTTAGACTTGATAGACCAGTGGCAAGCATGCTACTTTTTTATAAGCAGACAAGCTCGCGTAGCCTATGCAGCCGTATGTGTTGGTATATAACTTTTGCAAAGTTGTTAGCCATTGGGTTGGCAGCCGGATGCCTTACTTAGTCTCACGGATCTCCGCAATCCCATTTCTTGAACATTAGAATTTTCTAAATTTCTAGCCATTATATTTTACTTATACGTTTTATCAAAGAACCTTTGCAAGTAAAAAATTCTAATAATAAGAACGTATGAAAAATATTCAAATGGACTAGAAAATAAAGAAAAAACATTTTTGTGCGAGAGTCTTCTACGAGTATGGATTTCAACTCTCAATGAAAGCACCAATTTATGGATGCAAATTTCTTCCTCCTTGATCTTGGACAATTTTGCACCTACAAAACTATTAATACCTTAGGTTAAGGCCAAGAGCCTCACGCACCCACGATGAATGGGGGGGCTTTGGCTGAAGAACCTCCGATGCCAAAGTTAAAATTTAGAGAGAAAGAGTGTTTAGAGAATTTTGGGATTTTTGCCAAAGTGTTGGAATTGGCTTTTTTGGTGAGAATGAGAGTATATTTATAGGGATAGGAGGTGGCTAGGGTTTTTGTGTTTAATTTAGGTTTAATTAGCCAATTTATTTGGCTATTAAACATAAAATGAATGTTTTGGTGGTTTTTGGAATTAATTGGCTAGTTAATTAGGGTAATTGGAAAGGGAAAATAATGGAAAAGGTGGAGAATAAGATGGTTTACTTTTCTTGATGGGATTGGCCGGATATTTTAGTAGTTTTAGGTTTGGATGGGTGTTTCAATTGATAATTAAGGGATTGATTAGGTAATTAATCCCTTAATTAGCCAATTATTATGATTTTAGGAAATATGAAAGAAATAAGTATATTATTTAGCTAATTGATTAGCTAAATAATGAAATGGGAAATATATGAATAAATTAGGTTTTAAGTTGATACCTATTTTGGGCACTTTTGACTTGGTTGAGGGATAATTGTCTGCTGCTTGCGCGTAGGAATCCCGGTATACCTCAAGGGTAGTTTTGTCTTTTTTTGTCAAAAATCCACGTGTCGCCTTGTGATTATTTTTGGCTCCACAATGGCCGCATTTCTCAGTCCCACAAAAAATGCAATTATACTTGTAGGTGAAAGTTGGAAAGTCCTCAACAACCTTTTTCTTCTTCTTCAAGTTGGAGTTGAATCAAAGTGTCTTTAACAACCCTTGTTTTTTCTTTTTCTTCTTCTTCAAGTCGGGATCGAGTCAGAGAGTCTTCAACAGTCCATTCATCAAAAGCAATTTTTCTCAATCAATATGTTTGTAGTTTCATTGGTTAGAGTTTTGTTCAACGATGGAGGGTGGGAGAGTTTTGATAGTTAAGAACGTGAATAATACACTAAAAGTGATTTTGGGTGTATTTAAATTTTTTAAAATTTTTTAAACCTAATAAGGTCAAAATTGTCATTCATAGTGGGGTAAATAAGTCATTTAATATTAAATTTTAATGTGGGGGTGCATTCAACATTTTGTGGGATGCTAATATAAAAAGCCTTAAATTTTACGATAATTATAATCAAAAGTTGATATGAAAGTATAGTATATTTTTATAGTAAGGTTTTTCCAAAAAATAAATAAATAAAATAAGGATCGAATGTCTTTTTACTGCCATTTACAACCATCTTTGTCCTTTCAACTTCGTCAATCCACACCCCACGTCGTGAACAGCCGTCCGAAACAGAAGGCGGATAAACTCGATTGGGTTCAACGACCACAAGACAAAGGTTAACTTGCAAAAAAATGGAGGGGCAGAGGCGGACGAGGAGGCTATCTTCACTATTTTTATAGTGCTTAGTCCAAGTAAAACTAATCCAACGTAGTCATGAAGCTGATTCAATTCTAATTAGGAGCTTCACGGTTAAGAGTAAAAGAGGAGGATTTTAGTCATTAAGGGTATATTAGTACTATCATATCAACTTTTGATTATAATTATCATAAACTTAAAAGAGTAATTACATTCTATATCCATAGTTTTGTTATTTTCCAAATTTCCCCATCACTATTCCCATCATTCGATGTAAGACGACTTTTCGATTTCCCCCGAAAACTATGGCTGCATACGATGTCGTTTCAAGAGACGTACTTGGTTTTTTTACGTCATGTCGTTCTTTTGACAACTATTTAGATTGGATACAACATGTCGCTCATTTTTAGAGTAAAATAAGTTCGAATAAATCTGAACAAACATAGTTCTAACAATTTTTTTTGTTACAAATGATAGCGTTAGTGTGTTAAATTGTTTATT